TCTGAACTCTCGCTGATTTTGGACATTTCGGGGGACCGAAGTTGATATCATGGAAAGCAGTGAAGGAGTGCGGCGGCGCCTTTCCGATTCAGAAGGTGAGTATTCCGGCCTGCCTGCTCTGGAGTGACCCCCTCCACCCCAGGCCCCCTGACAGACTCAGCCTAGCTGAGGCGGTCCCGGGAGAACCCCCAAGGGGCCAGCGTGCACCTGAGAGTGGGCGTCATGCCTCTTCTTCTCCCGGTCCCAGAAGAGGACACTGCCACACAGCCACTGCCCCCTCTGTTGGACCGTCAGGGCACCCATTGGAGGAACGCGGTGGGTTTCTGGTGAGTGACCTGAAAAGTTAAGCAGAACAAAAAATGGGGCGGAAAGAGGGAAGCTACAGAAGGAAAGGGGGAAGAGGAGGTTAATTCTAGAAAAAGAAGATGATTCCACAAATATTTGCTGAACCGATTGATCTTAGCCAAGCAACGCCATAATTCCTCAAACCTGGCACACTTACCACTTTCAGGTTTGCGCCAAATCCGGATGCCTTCTCAAGGATTATTTACTTAGTGATTTCACTCCAACCGATCCAACCACTAAGTTTGTAAATTCATGTATTTCTAAAAGAAAAAAATTAAACCACTATTCTAGCTGGAAAGCCAGTATTTTCCTCACACATTCCTCACGCACACTTACATAAGGGCATTACTGCTTTTTAGAAGGTCATCCATCTACCTGTAAAGTCAGTCAGATACTGAGCCTTTTGGAAATAGTTCGAGCACCCAATTGAGGATTTGGGTGGCAGGTGGCAGATTGTTTTAGAGTGACCTTTCCTGTGACTCTAGGAGAGTCATGTAACCTTTCTGAGCCTCAGTTTCTTCAGCAGTGAAATGGGAACCGCTCATAGGCTTGTGAGGAGGACACATGAAATCTCTGGTACTAGGCCCAGTTCCTTCCCATCACTGAGACAGTTCTGGAAGTGAACAAGATTCTTTGTGGATCATCATGTGTTAATCCCTCTGACACTTTTGAAGTGGTCAGGAGAGAAATGTGTATCCCCATTTTACACATAAATCAACTGAGGCTACTCAGGGGGAGCACAGCAGGCTTGGGACCTGAGTGTAGCCCTTTGGGTTTCAAGCCCTGGGATCTTTTTTCTATATGGTGAGCCAGAGACTGTGGGTCTGTGGATGAGAAAAGGTGGGGGGAGCTCAGAGGAGTCAGGGATGACTTCTATCGGGAAAGTAGATGTGAACCCAAATCTGTGATCCCAAGCTCAAATTATCTAGCATTATTAAAAATAAACCTAACATTGTTGGGATCTGGTGATTGAGAAAAAAAGAGGAGTTGATTTCAAGAGCACAGGTAAGGGCAAGGTCTGATGCTAGGACTGCAGAAAGGTTAGAGGCCTGAAAGGAGGTTAAGATGTGGCCTTATTTGTCAGTTATCACTCAGTAAACAGGGGATTGGGGAAATCTGTCCTCACTCCAGGCTCCTGGGCCTTTGCAACAACTTCTCCTATGTAGTGATGCTCAGTGCTGCCCATGACATCCTTAGCCACCACAGGGCACCAGGGAACCAGAGC